AAGAGATAGTTTGTGAAACACAAGGTATTTCATGTTGATGCCACGTGCAGCGAATTTGAGTCACATTTGAACTCTAAAGTAGCCTGTTTTCTAATGAAATGGGCTCTGCAGGCATTTTTTTAAAAGCATTATGAGACTTCATTGCTATTACCATTACTTTTACTACATGACAAAACAAAATGGTTCCACCACAAATGCGCGCACAACAAAAGTGCGCCTGACTAAACCGCAGTGACAAAACCGCGCGACGAATGAGCGACAAATTAGCCCTAAAGCGCGCTGACAAAAGCACACCGACCGAAGCACGCTGTAACGTAACCCTAAGCCTACCCCTAAACCTAACCCTAAACCTAAGCGTAAACCTTACCTTAAATTAAATCGCGCTTCTGTCGGTGCGCTGTTGTCGGCGCGCTTTTGACATCGCGGTTTTAGCGCCGCGGTGTTGTCGGCGCGCTTATGACGTTCGCGCTTTTGTCGGGTCACGAACAAAATACATCTTGGGAGGGAAAATTTTAGCTTAAGAGATTTCTGGAAGCCCATACATCTTACAGTTGCCAAGTTTAGGAAACAGTGGATGGTGTGATTTTTGTGCAATCAGGTTCCTGCGAATGCACTAATCTGTTCTTATTTCTGTTGCACTCAAATTATAGTGTGGTGCAAGGAACTTAATCTAGCACAGAGTATCAATCAGTAGTTGAGAGACAAGTCTTAAGATGTGTCTCTCAATAAGTCTCTTTGTGGCATTCAGGGACCAAGTTCCCATAAAATTGTAGATCATGCTAAAAATGAGGTCGGGCAGTTTGGAGTTCAAATGTTGTAGGAACTTGGCTGTTCTTTTAGCAGGCCATAGGAACCAACTTGTCGCACATCATGATTTAGCAGTGTGTGCCTAAGCTGTTAGGTGAACCTGGTAATTGTATTCTGTTACTCTGATTTAGCATGGGATGTGAACTTCATCACTTGTGGCATTGTATAATTCTTTTAAGTTTCCACTTTGCAGGGGTTTTGTTGTTGTTAAGTTGGCCCTTAACGATTAAAAAAAAAAGAATTCTCACATTT